TTCCATTTATGAATTTTTCTATTTTTCGAATTCTCGATCTTTTGATGTTTCGATTTCTCGGCACTTCAATTTTGAATTTTTCGATGTTTCTACTTTCCGATTTTTGGACTTTTGGGACCTTTTAAAGTTTCAATTTTGGATTTTTCGATTTTGCAATTTTAGATTTTTGAATTTTTTAAGTTTTCGATTTAGCAGTTCTTGAGACTTCTATTTTTCAATTTTCCGCATTTTTAAATTTTTTATTTTTCAGTTTTTTGAGGATCTCGACTTTCTAGTTTTTTTTATTATTTTTCCAATTTGTCAATTTTTCGATTTTTCAATCTTTCATTTCTTCTTTTCAATGTTTCAATTTTCCATTTCTCACTTCTTCAATTTTTCAAATTTTGACGTTTCTAAATTTTCAATTTTCCGATTTCTCAATTTCCCGACTAAAGGGTTTTTTGATTTTCTCATTTCTCGACTTTTTATTGCTTCGATATTTCAGTTTTAAGATTTTTCAATATTTTAATTTTTATTTTTTCGATTTCAAAAATTTTAATTTTTTAATTTTTCGATTCCTTAATGTTTCGATTTCTCGATTGTTTAATTTTTCGAATTTTCAGTTTTTCCTTGATCACTCGTTTGTCGACTTCTCGGTTTTTAATTTTTCAATTCTTGGATTTTTTTAATTTTGAATTTTTCAATTTTGAACTTTACGATTTATGAATTTTTCTATTTTTCGAGTTTTCGATCTTTTGATGTTTCGATTTCTCGACGCTTCAAAATTGAATTTTTCGATGTTTCTACTTTCCGATTTTTTTACTTTTGGGACCTTTTAAATTTTAAATTTAGGATTTTTCGATTTTTCGATTTTAGACTTTTGAATTTTTCAATTTTTCGAGTTTTAAATTTTTCAATTTTTTCAATTTTCGATTTTTCGATTTAGCAGTTCTTCGATACTTCTATTTTTCAATTTTCCGCATTTTTAAATTTTTTATTTATCAGTTTTTTGAGGATCTCGATTTTCTAGTTTTTTTTTTGTTATTCATCTTTCCAATTTGTCAATTTTTCGATTTTTCAATTTTTCATTGTATCAATCTTCCATTTTTCAGTTCTTCTACTTTTCAAAATTTGACGTTTCTAAATTTTCAATTTTCCGATTTCTCAATTTCCCGATTAAGCGTTTTTTTTTATTTTCTCATTTCTCGACTTTTTAATGTTTTGATTTTTCAATTTTTCAATTTTTAGTTCTTCTATTTTTCAATTTTTCGATTTTATGATTGTTCAATTACCCGATTTCTCAATTTTTGGATTTTTTTTTAATTTATAATTTTTCAATTTTTAACTCTTCGATTTACGAATTTTTGAATTTTTCGATGTTTCATTTTTGAAATTTTAGATTTTTAAATTTATCAATTTTTTTCGATGTTGCGATTTTTCTTTTTTTCAATTATTGGAGATTAAAATTTTTCGATTTTTCTGTTCCTCCATATTTCTGTTTCAATTTTTAGCATTTTAAATTTTTGATTTTTCAGTTTCTTTAGAATCTCGGTTTTTAAAATTTTTGTTTTTTCTTCAAATTTCAGCTGTTGGAATTTTCAATATCTCATTATTTCTTTGGAATATTGTGGTGCGTTTTTCAATTTTTCTTTTTCAGATTCTCAATTTTCAATTTTTCAATATTTAGATATTTTAATTTTTGATTTCTCGATTTTTCATCTTTTGAGTTTTTCATTTCTTCTTTTTTCCATTTTTCAGATTCTCGATTTTAAATTATTTGTTATTTATCCTTCCAATTTGTCAATTTTTCGATTTTTCAATTTTCCATTTTTCAGTTCTTCAAGATTTCAAATTTTGGCGTTCCTAAATTTTCAATTTTCAGATTTCTCAATTTCACGATTTAGTAATTTTTCTGATTTGCTCATTTCTCGACTTTATAATGTTTCAATTTTCCAGTTTTTCAATTTTTCAGTTCTTCGAATTTTTAATTTTTCTGATTCTGGTTTATTGAGATTTCGATGTTTCGATTGGATTTTTTTTTAATTTTGAAAATTTTTAACTTTTCGATTTATGATTCTTCGAGTTCTCGATCTTTTGATGTTTCGACTTCCCGATTTCTCAATTTCGGAATTTTCGATTTTTGAATTTATCAATTTTTCGCTGTTGCGATTTTTAAGTTTTCAATATTTAAATATTTTCATCTTTCATTTCATCAATTTTTCATTTCTTTTTTTAAATGTTTCAATTTTCCATTTTTTCACTTCTTCAATATTTGAAATTTTGACGTTTCTAAATTTTCAATTTTCAGATTTTTTAACTTTTCGATTTATGATTTTTCTAGTTCTCGATCTTTTGATGTTTCGACTTCCCGATTACTCAATTTTGGAATTTTCGATTTTGAAATTTTAGATTTTTGAATTTATCAATTTTTCGATGTTGTGATTTTTAAGATTTCAATATTGAAATATTTTCATCTTTCATTTCATCAATTTTTCATTTCTTTTTTAAAATGTTTCAATTTTCCGTTTTTTCAGTTCTTGAATATTTGAAATTTTGACGTTCCTAAATTTTCAATTTTCAGATTTTTTAACTTTTCGATTTATGATTTTTCTAGTTCTCGATCTTTTGATGTTTCGACTTCCCGATTTCACAATTTTGGAATTTTCGATTTTGGAATTTTACATTTTTGAATTTATCAATTTTTCGCTCTTGCGATTTTTAAGTTTTCAATTTTGAAATATTTTCATCTTTCATTTCACCAATTTTTCATTTCTTTTTTTAAATGTTTCAATTTTCCATTTTTTCACTTCTTCAATATTTGAAATTTTGACGTTTCTAAATTTTCAATTTTCAGATTTTTTAACTTTTCGATTTATGATGTTTCTTGTTCTCGATTTTTTGGTGTTTCGACTTCCCGATGTTTCAATTTTGGAATTTTCGATTTTGAAATTTTCGATTTTTGAATTTATCAATTTTTCGCTGTTGCGATTTTTAAGTTTTCAATATTTAAATATTTTCATCTTTCATTTCATCAATTTTTCATTTCTTTTTTAAATGTTTCAATTTTCCATTTTTCAGTTCTTCAATATTTCAAATTTTGACGTTCCTAAATTTTTCAATTTTCAGATTTCTCAATTTCACGATTAAGTGATTTTTTTGAATTTCTCATTTCTCGATTTTTTTTCAATTTTTCAGTTTTTCAATTCTTGAATGTTTCGATTTGGGATTTTTCACATATTTCAATTTTTTACTTTTTCGATTTTGAAATTTTTGAATTTTCAATTTTTCCATTTCTTGATCTTTCGATTTTTCGACTATCATGTTTCGACTTCCCGATCTCTCAATTTTAGAATTTTCGATTTTGAAATTTTTCGATGTTGAGATTTTTAATTTTTCAATATTTAAATATTTTCATTGTTCGATTTTTCAGATTCTTGATTTTCAGTTTTTTACTATTCATCTTTTTAATTTGTCAATTTTTCATTTCTTTTTTTCAATGTTTCAGTTTTCCGATTTTTCAATTTTATTTTTCAGCAAAATTTTGAAATAACGTCGAGTTTTTAGAAAGAATAAACAAAATTATTTCTGTTAAAATTTCTAAACAGTGGGTGTTTTAGTTTCTAAGTTAAATTGTCAAACCTTATTTTACAATTCTGATTGTTTAATCAAAAATATAGACGTCGAAGTCAAAAAATAACGGCGGATTAATAAAAATAAACTACAAGTACAGATTTACTTTGCTAAATATTAAAATGACGTCATCAAATTGTGGTGGGGACGATCAAGCAATTTTTGGTAGGTGTCATCACCTACAATTTCACTACAAGAGACAACAGACAGATAGAAACGGAAGACCTACTTTTTCATAATCCACAAGTAATGAAACGTCTTAAATAAACAAAAGAACCACCAGAACACCGAAAACAACTCTGAAAACACGCAATCGCCCCAGAACAAGTGTGTAAACACCAGATAAAAACAGAAAACATTTTTAGCCGAACATTACTCAGAATTTTCTCTTTGCAATATCTTGACCTGCCGACATTTGATTTCGACAAACTATATATAAAAAAAAAACAAAACAAGTCACTACTGAGAAAAACTATTAATCAGTCCAGAACTAACTATGTCGTACGTTTCTAAGGCAAAAAAAGCGCCTATAGAAAGGGTGGAACTACTATGTACAACAGAACTATAGTGGAAATCTGTGTTTCTCACAAAACTAATCTATTGATAAAAATGGGGCACATTCAGAAAAGTGGAATGACAAACTTAACGTTAAGTGCGTAAAACGTGAACACAAAAAATTACGATAATAACATATAAATCCACGAAATCAGTTGTTCTTGGACAAACATTTTATCTTGATGGTCTAAGCAACAAACTGAACTTTTGTCGTTTTTTGTTTTCCAGCAGGAAAATCGTTACGCAACGAATGTTCGTGAATGGACAAAAAACGTAAACAAAACAAACCAAACCAAAGAAAAAATAATGATGGATGTGAACAATACCACCCAGATGGTTGTAACGTCGTAACTAATTATAACAATGTTTAAGGAAAAAAAAAGCCCTGATAACACTGATACATCATGTGGAAAACCCAAACATAATCCATTATAGATGCGGTGTGGGGTTGTAGAACATGCAACGGAACTAATACAAGGGTGTCGGTACCGCATGACGTAATTCATTTGTTTTGGTGGTACCACGTGGCTACCACAGCAACATCCAGGTGGGGAGAGAACACACCAATCAATTCTCCAGGCTAAGCAACCCGAAATACAAATATTTACAGACCAAAGATAACCGGCGAAGGTGGAAAAAGGCATGCACGGGACTCGTCAATAGGACCGTAGTCGTAAGAAAAAAACAAAACAACCACTCTACCTAGATGCAACTAAACAAAAACATTGTAGGCTACTTACTTTGAGTGGCAGCTTGCAACAGAACGCTCAGGTTAATAAAACTCAACGGAAAACAAGCCCCTACCCTTACTGAAAGCAGAGCACACTCAGACTCACCGTGAACTCCCCGGACACCGGGTCGAAGCCTACGTGAACCGTGTGCTCGAAGTTCGTGGGGTAGGAGATGTTGGGCTTGTCGGCGGCGTAGGTCGACAGCTTGCTGGCCTTCTTCGACTTGAGGTTCTTCTTCTTGCGGTCGGCGTCCTCGGGCTCCTTGGGCAGGGGCCGGTCCATCGCCAGCGAGTTGGACAGGATGTCGGTGCCCCGGTTGGAGGTGAGGCGCACGGGGGGCGCCGGGGGCTTCTCGTCGTCCGAAGACATCCTGCAAACGACAGCGCGTGAGCCGAGGACGGGGAAAACTATGGGCGGGCCGGTATGCGTCAGCCCTCGGACCTTCGCAAACACGGCACCGAACGCACCTTAGTATGACAGGCACTGGTTGATTCTAGGTGATGAACACGCCCGCGGCTAACACACAACGGTTTCTAACGAACAAATAAGTACATTTAGTGCGAGATATGTACAAAATCCATATCTAATCGCCGATTACTTTATGATGACCACCATCTTGCCGTCACCGGGCTGGCGCAAGCACGGACGGCCCACTCACTCCCACACTGGCTGTAGCAGCGGGATAAAGAGAGACGGGAGATGGCGCGTAGGTTGGCACCGATTCGCGGATCTGGTGACTTGAGTGACACAACTGTCAACGGCTAGGGACTTTTGTCGACAGAAAGCGGACCAGGATGGGCTTTGGGTTAAATTACGTGTAAATACACCCATTTGTGGGGGAAATCAAACACATTATTAAACACGTGTGGGTATTTTTTCTTAAAGTTTGTTACTAGGAGTACGAAGATTGTGACAAAGGCAACCGTTGACGGAATGATGTATCGCGTCCTGTCATTAGTGTGATTTTCTTGGCCGAGTTTCCACCCCACAACACAAAAATGAAGAAAAAGGTACGTTGCAACCCTTAAATTATGGTCCCGTAACCACCATTTCTGTTGCAGAGCGCAGTTACATAAACTGCACAGGTTTTTTTACTTTTTTTATCAGTGATATTTTTGTGACGATTTTTCTATCATAGACAAAGATTTCATTACAAATAATAACTATTAATAAACAGATAAGTAACTGCTTAGATGGTGTTCGAAGCTACTTTGATGCTTTACACACTACGAACACATACTTATTGGATTTTACAGAAATGCTCAATTTTCTTGTTACAAAGGTCACTATTTTTAGACAAATCAACAGTAATTTTGGCCCAAGGAATGGCAACTTGGTGACTTTTCAAAATTTTATTTGACCTTTAGCTTACAACAAGTCCTTTCATCTGTGTGATTGTCTTTCCAGTTCATGTGTGTTCTAGATTTCACTCCACGCACATTCCAATTCCGTGTGCCCTTTATTCATCAAAAATTTAGAAAAAAACTTGAAGGAACTCAGTTTGAAAGTCTTTTATGCTTCAGCACCAAGTTTCCAAAGCCTTCTTGAAACTCCGAGGTTTAAAAATGCCACTGAAATGAAATGACACGTCTGCCAACGTAAATGAAATGCCCCTATATTTATGTCAAAATTTTTTAAAATGGAATTACGAAATTAAAGCGCCCTAGAAATATATGCTTAACTTAATCTGATATGTTCTTGAGAAAACAAACATTCTCAAATTTCCTGGGAGTCTGTAATGAATGTCGTCTTCCAAAATCGACAATTTCCGTTAACATACAACGTTGACCTATAAATTTTTGTTATAGTGTGATTTCAGTTTAGTGAATTGAATGTGGGTTTGACGTTTCTAGCAGTCTTATCAGAGTTTAATTGTGATAGTTTGGACTTTAACAGTCCAATTTTCTTAGGAACATTTCTTTTTTATTTCAAAATATTGGGTATTTACTTGACAGAAATTCATATTCATAAATAGAAACGTCAAATCTGACAGCTCACGAAGCCACAACTACGTCTTAATTTAACCACATGACGTGCTGTCGTTCCCAATTAATGGTGAATTGAAAATTCCAGCACGTACCCGGCTTCCGCCCATTTTTCAATCCCACGAATCCAGGTTCCCAGGAGCCATTGTGGATTAAAAAAGTCGCTCGACCTCGCGCCATTTTATCACTAAACCACAATTACACTGGGCGATATTTAAAAACAACAAACAAAATTATTTTCACCGAAAAGTGCACATTTGTTTGTAATTAGGTTGGTATCAGTGTTAAAATTTACCTTAGGAAGTGCAAAATCGACTGCTCCGAGATTTTGCAAAGGTTTAATCGCCCCTGTGGAAAATTGATCTGTTCATGTCCTCCAAAAACTTGATGACGTCATTTCAAATTTTTATTTACCGGGAAATATTTGTTGTGCTTATTGTGAATGAAATAATTGACACTTCCAAAAATTGTAAAAATGTAAAATCGAAACATTGGAAAATCGGGTGGTTTTAAAAATGTAAAATTTTAAAATAATTAAACTGAAAAATCAAAACAAAATTGTGAAATTACAAAATTCAAAAATCCAAAGATTCCAAAACCGACATGTAGAAAAATCGAGAAATTGGGAAACAAAAAAATCAAAAAATTTTGAGTCGAAAAAATCCTTCAACTGAAATAGTGAACTTGAACTGAAAAATTGAAAATCGAAATTTTGAAGAATTAAAAAATTGATTCGTTAAAAACCGGACAATTGAGAAATCGAAAAATTATGAAAATATAAACTCAAAAATCCAAAAATTGTAAAACTGCAAAATTGTAAAACTTGATACATATTTGTAAAACCGCAAAAATTAGGTATTAAACTGTAAATGTGAAAAATCGAAAAATCAGATAAATGAAAAACCGAAAAATTACTAAATTTAAAAATCGAATTAGGTATTGAAAAATTAAAAATTAAAAAATTGGAAAATCCAATCAATGAAATTCGGATAATTGAAAAATCAAAAATTGAATCCTTGAAAAAACGAAGAATTATAAGACTGAAAATTGAGAAATTGATTAATTAAAAACCGAATAATTGACAGATTTAAAAATTGTAAAAATGTGATTTCGAAAAATTGGAAAATCGGATAGCTTTAAAAACAAAAAATTTTAAATTAATTAAACTGAAGAATAAAAAACTTAAAAAATGAAATTGAAATATCAAACAATTAAAAAATTGTAGAAACTCAGGGATTCCAAACCCGAAAAATTTAGAAACTCAAAAAAAGTAAAAATTTTGAGATCGAAAAAATTCTACAACACTGAAATATTGAACAACTGAAAAATGATAAATTGAAAACTGAAAAGTTGATTATTAAAAACCGGATCATTGAGAAATAAAAAAATATTAAAAAATAAAACTGAAAAATTAAAAAATTGCAAAGTCGAAAAATTATTGAACTAAAAAATTGCGTAAGTATAAAAGTGAAAAATTAAAAACTTGAAAAATTGTACATTGAAATTTTGAAAATTTGAAAAATAAAAAAATATTAAAAACAAAGAATTATAAAATTAAAAAATTGATTCATTAAAATCGCGACGATTGAAAAAATCTAAAAATTGTAAAAATATAAACCCAAATATCCAAAAAATGTACAACTACAAAATTGTGAAATAGGATATTTGTAAAACTGAACAAATTTTTAAACTTAAATGCGAATAATTGAAAAATAAAAAACTGAATAATTGAAAAAACGAAAATCTTAAAAACGAAGAATTATAAAATTGAAAATTGAGAATGAATAAAAAAAAACGAACAATTCTCACATAAAAAACTGTAAAAATGTAAAATCGAAGAATTGTAAAATCGGTTAACTTTATAATCGAAAAATGTTAAAATAATTAAACTGAAGAATTAGAAATTTTAAACAATTAAAAATAAAAAAATTGAAAAATTGTAAAATTACAAAATCGGAAACTTGGATAATTCTAAATTCGAACACTTATTGAACTGTAAAATGAAAAATTGATTCATTAAAAACCGGACAATTGAGAAATCGAAATAAGTATTATAACAATATAAACTCAAAAATCTAAAAATTGTATTGTATTTGTAAAACTGAAAAAATTATTAAACTGTAAATGTAAATGATTGAAAAATCAGATAATTGTAAAACCAACAAATGAAAATCCAATCAATGAAATTCGGATAATTAAAAACTCCAAAATTGAATCATTGGAAAAATTAAAAATGTTAAAAACGAAGAATTATGAAATTGGAAATTGAAAAATTGCTCAAGTAAAAACCGAATAACAGAGAAAATCGGAAAATTGTAAAAATGTAAAATCGAAAATTTGAAAAATCATACCTTTAAAAACGAAAAATTTTAAAATTGAAAACTTAGACAACTCTAAATTCGAAAATTTATTAAATTGTAAAATGAAAAGTTGAAAAATCCTTAAAAATCGAACAATTAAAAAATGAAAAATTGAAAAACCCAGGGTTTCCAATATTGATAAGTTGAAAAATGGAGAAATTTGGAAACTAAAAATCTAAAAATTTTTAACTCGAAAAAATTCTACAACTGAAATATTGAACTGAAAAATCATTATTGAGAAATAAAAAAATATAAAAACAAAGCTGAAAAACTAAAAAATTGCAAAATCGAAAAATTATTAAACTGAAAAATTGCATAAGTAAAAATTGAAAATCAAATAATTTTAAAATCGAAAAATTGCAAAACTATAAAATTACATAAAAAATCAAAATCTTGAAAAATTGAAAATTGAAATTTTGAGAAATTAAGAAATAAAACATTAAAAACGAAGCATTATAAAATTGAAAAATTGATTCATTAAAAACTGGATGATTGAAAAAATCGGAAAATTGTAAAAATATAAACTCAAATATCCAAAAATTGTAAAACTACAAAATTGTAAAATAGCATATTTGTATAACCGAAAAAATTATTAAACAACTGTAAATGTGAAAAATTGAAAAATTAAATATCAAAAATTAGAAAATCGAATCAAAGAGTTTCGGATAATTGAAAAATCAAAAATTGAATAATTGAAAAAACGAAAAATGTTGAAAACGAAGAATTCTAAAGTTGAAAATTGAGAATAAATTTAAAAAACCGAATAATTGACATTCAAAAACTGTAAAAATGTAAAATCCACGAACTGTAAAATCGGTTAACTTTAAGAACGAAAAATGTTAAAATAATTAAACCAAAGAATCAAAAACTTAAAAAATTTGAATTGAAATTGTAAACAATTAAAAATAAAGAAATTGAAACATTGTAAAATTACAAAATTCGAAACTTGGATAATACTAAATTCTAAAATTTATTAAACTGTAAAATGAAAAATTGAAGAACGAAATTTTGAAAAAAAAATAATAACGAAGAATTATAAAATTGTAAAATTGATTCATTAAAAACCGGACAATTGAGAAATTGAAAAATTATAAAAATATAAACTCAAAAATCCAAAAATTGTAGAACTGGATATTTGTAAAATCGAAAAAATTATTATATTGTAAATGTAAAAAAATTGAAAAATCAAATAATTGTAAAACCAAAAAATTACGAAATAAAATCGGATAATTGAAAAATCAAAAATGAATCATTGAAAAAATTAAAAATGTTAAAAACGAAGAATTATAAAATTGAAAATTGAGAAATTGATTAAGGCAAAAACCGAATAATTGACATTTCCAAAAATTGTAAAAAAATGTAAAATTCGAAAATCAGGTACCTTTAAAAACGAAAAATTTTAAAATAATTAAATCGAAGAATCAAAAACTTAAAAAATTTAAATTGAAATTTTAAACAATTAAAAATCAAAAAATTGAAAAATTGTAAAATTACTAAATTGAAAACTGTGAATTCGAAAATTTCTGAAACTCTAAAATGAAAAATTGAAAAACCCAAGGATTCCAAAACCGACAAGTTGAAAAATCGAGAAATTTGAAAACTAAAAAATATAAGAATTGTGAGATCGAAAAAATTTTACTAAAACTGAAAATTCCATAAATATATATAAAATTGAAAATCAAATAATTTTAGAATCGAAAAATTACAAAATTTAAATATCGAAATATAGAAAAATTAAAATCAAAAAATGGAAAATCGAATCAATGAATTTCGGATAATTGAAAAATCAAAAATTGAATAATTGAAAAAATGAAAATCTTAAAAACGAAGAAATATAAAATTGAAAATTGAGAATTAATTAAAAAACCGAATAATTGGCATATTCAAAAACTGTAAAAATGTAAAATCGGTTAACTTTAAGAACGAAAAATGTTAAAATAATTAAACTGAAGAATCAAAAACTTAAAAAATTCGAATTGAAATTGTAAACAATTTAAAATAAAAAAATTGAAAGATTGTAAAATTACAAAATTGGAAACTTGGATAATTCTAAATTCGAAAATGTATTAAACTGTAAAATGCAAAATTGAAAAACGAAATTTTGAAAAAATAAAAAATTTAAAATCGAAGAATTATAAGATGAAAATTGAAAAATTGATTCATTAAAAACCGGACAATTGAGAAATCGAAAAATTATAAAAATATAAACTCAAAAATCCAAAAATTGTAAAACTGGATATGTATTTGTAAAACCGAAAAAATTATTAAACTGTAAATGAAAAAAATTAAAAAATCAGATAATTGTAAAACCAAAAAATTACGAAATTTAAAAATCGAATTATTGAAAAATAAAAAAATTGGAAAATCCAATCAATGAAATTCGAATAATTGAAAAATCAAAAATGAATCATTGAAAAAAGTAAAAATGTTAAAAACGAAGAATTATAAAATTGAAAACTGAGAAATTGATTAAGTAAAAACCGAATAATTGACATTTCCAAAAATTATAAAAATGTAAAATTAGAAAATTAGGTACCTTTAAAAACGAAAAATTTTAAAATAACTAAATCGAAGAATCAAAAACTTAAAAAATTTAAATTGAATTTTAAACAATTCAAAATAAAAAAATTGTAAAATTACAAAATTGAAAACTTGGATAGTTGTAAATTCGAAAACTTATTAACTTGTAAAATGAAAAATTGAAAACCCAAGGGTTCCAAAACCGACTAGTTGAAAAATCGAGAAATTTGGAAACTAAAAAAATCTAAAAATTTTGAGATCGAAAAATTCTGCAACTGAAATATTGAACAAGTGAAAAATGAAAAATTAATTCATTAAAAACCGGAAAAAATCGGAAAATTGTAAAAATACAAAATCAAAAATCCAAAAATTGTAAAACTAGAATATTGTAAAAGTGGATATTTGTAAAAACGAAAAAATTATTAAACTGTAAATCGGAAAAACTGAAAAATCATATAATTGTTAAATTGAAAAATTATGAAATTTAAAAATCAAAGAATTGAAAAATTAACAAAAACAATTTGGAAAATGAAATCAATGAATTTCATATAATTGAAAAATCAAAAATTGAATAATTGAAAAAACGAAAAATGTTAAAAACGAAGAATTATAAAATTGAAAATTGGGAAATGCATTAATTAAAAACCGAATAATCGACACATTTAAAAATTGTTAAAAAATGTAAAACCGAAAAATTGGTAAATCTGATTCCTTTAAAAACGAAAAATGTAACATAATTAAACTGTAGAATAAAAAACTGAAAAAATTAAATTCAAATTTTAAATAATAAAAAGAAAAAAATTGTAAAATGACAAAATTTTAAACTTGGATAATTGTAAATTCGAAAATTTATTAAGCTGTAAAATGAAAAATTGAAAAATTGAAAATTGATTTTTAAAAACCGGATCATTGAGAAATCAAAAAATATGAAAATATAAAACTGAAATTTTGAAAAATTGAAAAATTAAAAATATTAAAAACGAAAAAATATAAAATTGAAAATCAAAAAATTGATACATTAAAAATCAGACGATTGAAAAAATCGGAAAATTGTTAAAATATAAACTCAAATATCCAAAAATTGTAAAACTGCAAATGTGAAAAATTGAAAAATCAGATACATAATTGTAAAATCGAAAAATTACGAAATTTAAATATCGAGATATTGAAATATTAAAAATCAAAAATTGGAAAATTGGTTATTAAAAACCGGATCATTAAGAAATCAAAAAATGTAAAAATATAAAACTGAAAAATTAAAAAATCGGAAATTGGAAAAATGTTTAAACTGTAAAGCAGAAAAATCGCAAAAGTATAAAATTGAAAATCGAAATGTAGAAAAATTAAAATATATTAAATTTTAAAAACGAAAAAACCAGGCAATTAATTTGTAAAAATACGTCCTCAAAAATCTAAAAACTATAAAACTACAAAATTGTAAAATCCGATATTTCCAAAATCAAAAAAATTATTAAACGGAAAATGTGAAAAAATTAAGAATCAGTTCATTGTAAAACCGAAAAATTACGAAATTTAAACATCGCAATATTGAAAAATTAAAAATAAAAAAATTCAAAAATCGAATCAATGAAATTCTGATAGTTGAAAAATCAAAAATTGAATCGTTGAAAAAACGAAAAATATTAAAAACCTAAAAAAAATTCTACAACTGAAATATTGAACAACTGAAAATTGAAAAATCGAAAAACTGAAAAATCAAAAGTTAAAAATTGATCAAAAACCGGATCATTGAGAAATCGAGAAAATGTAAAAATATAAAACTGAAAAATTAAAAAATTGCAAAATCGAAAAATTATTAAAATACAAACTCAAAAATCCACAAATTGTGAAACTACATCGTAAAATTGGATATTTGTAAATCCGAAAGATTATTAAACTGGAAATCCGAAAAATTGAAAAATCAGATAATTGTAAATTAGAAAAATTACGAAATTTAAAAATCGAAATGTTAAAAAATTGAAAAATCGAATCAGTAAAATCCCCATAACTGAAAAATCAAAAATTGAACAATTGAAAAAAGAAAAATTTAAGAAACGAAGAATTATAAAATTGAGAAATTGAATTTGAAATTTTGAACAATTAATTGAAATCAAAACATTGAAAAATTGGTTTTATTTACAGTCCCTAAATTATATTTAAATATTTATATAAATACATAAAATTCTTGCACTTGTGGTGTATGAACCGTGTTGAGTTATAACCCTAGACATCCAAATTTTTGAAAAAAAAGTCAAAATTACATAACAAGAATTTGCAATTTGACTTTGAAACTGTAAAACCGAATGTTCTGAAATCTTGCAAACCGTCATTAAAAAAAAATCGCAAAATCAAATCTTACAATTTTTCGAAAGATCTGAATTTATTTACCATCAACATTTTTTTTAGATCACAGTAATTTTCGGTTTTTTTATTTTTCGATGTTTGGGTTTCATAATAATTTTTAAATTTCTCGACTTCCAAATTTTCTCATTTTTCGATTTCTCGTTTCCTCAGTTTTTCTAGTCCGAATTTTTCGTTTATACAATTTTTCAAATTTTCAATATCTTTTTTGGATTTCTATAAGTTTCTCAATTTTTATTAATTTTTCCATTTTTTTTTTACGTTTCAATTTTTCAAGTTCTTGATTTCCAATTTTTACATATTGGTTTTCATTTTGTACGTTTTTTTTTTTTTTTTTCATTTTTGATTTTTCAAGTTTACAATTTTGCAATTTTTCTGATTCGAAAATTTGAAAAATCGAAAAAGTAAAACATCGAAAAAATTAAAAATTAAAAAATCGAAAAAATCACTAAACCTCGTTCCAGGTCCTCCTCATGGGCAAAAGCGGCTCCGGCAAGACCAGCATGCGGTCCATAATCTTCGCCAACTACATCGCCCGCGACACCCGCAGACTGGGGGCCACAAGTAAGACCCCCCCTTGACCCAACCACCACTAAAAACCCCCTTTCAGTCGACGTGGAGCACTCCCACGTCCGCTTCCTCGGCAACCTAGTCCTCAACCTGTGGGACTGCGGAGGCCAGGAAGCCTTCATGGAGAACTACTTCGCCTCCCAACGCGACAACATCTTCCGCAACGTGGAAGTCCTCATCTACGTCTTCGACGTGGAAAGCCGCGAACTGGAAAAAGACATGCACTACTACCAGTCCTGTCTGGAAGCCATCCTCCAGAACTCGCCTGAAGCCAAAGTCTTTTGTCTGATCCACAAAATGGACCTGGTGACCGAGGACCAACGAGAGATTATTTTCAAAGAGCGCGAAGCCGATTTGAAGAGGCTGTCGCTGCCGTTGGAATGCACGTGTTTTAGGACTTCCATTTGGGACGAAACGTTGTACCGGGCTTGGTCGAGTATAGTCTATATGTTAATTCCAAACGTGAAAGAGCTTGAGAATAGTCTACAACAATTTGCGAATATCGTGGACGCCGACGAAGTCCTTTTGTTCGAAAGAGCGACTTTCCTGGTGATTTCGCACTGCCAGAGGAGGCATCACCGAGACGTACATAGGTTCGAAAAAGTGTCGAACATCATAAAGCAGTTTAAATTGTCGTGTTCGAAGTTGGCTGCGCAGTTCCAGAGCATGGAAGTGCGGAATTCGGCCTTCGCGGCCTACATAGATATGTTCACTAGTAATACGTACGTGATGGTGTGTATGTCCGACCCGCAGATCCCGTCGGAGGTCACCCTTATTAATATTAGGAACGCGCGGAAGCACTTCGAGAAGCTAGAGAAGGTGTCGAGTTCGGCTCCCATTGGTCACCGTTGAGAGGGTGGGGGGAGGAAGTTGTGCCAAATGCCGATGCGATAAGTACAATTAAGGTTAAAGCAGCATATCCAGATTTGCAAATGCAATATTTTGTAGATATTATCTATATTAATTTTTTATTTATTATTATACACTGTATGTTTATAGATAGGTACTTACGGAGGTGCTACGAATAATGATTAAGTGAAAATGGATGCGCGATCTTCTGGCTCACTCGTCACTAGCTTAAATATGAGGGGTTTAATAAAATGTGCGACTTTACGTCAATCTAAATATACGTCTGGTTTTATTTAGAGTCCCTAAATAATGCTTAAGTGAGATATTCCTGCATTTGTGGTGTAGGAATCCTTGTTGATTCAACAAATTTTTGGAAAAAATAAAAATTGGAAAATATTTTGCAATTTAACTTTGAAACTACAAAATTAAATCTAATTTTTGGAAAAGTTTTTTGATATCACAATTTTTGTTTTTTTATTTTTCAATGTTTCGATGAAACCGTTTTTGCAACTTTAATTTTTCAATTTCTCGACTTCCAAATTTTGCAATTTTTTGATGTTACAATTTTTCAGAATTTAAATTTTTCCAATTCTTGATTTCTATTTTTCATTTTCCTGATTTGTTAATTTTCATTTTTTCGATTTTATATCACATTTTTTCGCTTTTTCATTTCCTTTATTTTTCAATGTTTCTTTGGATTAATTTTTTTTTTATTTAATTTTACAATATTTCGTTTTTTCAATTTCTAAGGTTCTGAATTTTTAGTCTTTCGATTTTTCAATTTCTCGACTTCCAAATTTTGCAATTTTCTGATCTTACAATTTTTCAGAATTTCAATTTCCAATTCTTGATTTGTTAATTTTCATTTTTTCGATTTTATATCACATTTTTTCGCTTTTTCATTTCCTTTATTTTTCAATGTTTCTTTGGATTAATTTTTTTTTTATTTAATTTTTCAAATTTCTTTGATTTTGCAATTTCTTCAACTGTCAATATTTTGTTTTTTCAATATTCCACTTTTTCAATTTCTAAGGTTCTGAATATTTAGTCTTTCGATTTTTCAATTTCCCGACTTCCGAATTTTGCAATTTTTTGATGTTACAATTTTTCAGAATTTCAATTTTTCCAGTTCTTGATTTCTATTCAGCGTTTGGTCGAGAGCTCGTAAAGTGTGGACGCGTTGCAAGTTACTCGATTAAAAATGAAATGCAAAAAGTGTAAAGCCAGTTTAATAAGTGGTGTAAAATGCAATGTTTGTTTGTCTTATTATCACACAAGTTGTGGAAAGTTGCTCAGTAAAGGGAAGTTCAATTCTGAAGATGTTATATTGTGCTGTAATCGACCCTGTTCTCCGTTTACCGAAGACACTACTCCTGAGCCAAATGATATTGATTTATCAAACATCACTGAACCAGTTGATGCGACCATGTTTAAGTATGTCATGCAGCAGAAAGATGTGATCATTGAAGAACTACGGTCTAAAATCGATCTCCTACAAGAAAAAATTTGCCTTCTAGAACAACTGGAAAAAGAACGGCAAAAACTCTCCCAGTCCTCTATCACACCAGTCGCTGCTAAGCAAGATAAGCAAAAGGTAAACAAGGAAAATGGTGGAAGTTCTGTCAAAGTTTCTGTCAAAGGTTTAAGAAGTCCTGCGATGTCATCAAAAAGTCCTGCGATGTCATCTAAAAGTCCTGCAATGTCATCAAAAAGTCCTGTGATGTCATCACCCAACATAAAATCTATACAGCCCACAATGAAAGTACAGCCAAAGGCTCTTCCAAAACGCCATAATGATGAATGGAATCTAGTTGAGAAGAAAAAACGTAAAGCTGTAGTTGGTTGTTTCGCTGCTGCAGGTTGCAGTTTGAAAGCTATACCAAAACTAATGGATCTGCATGTTTATAGGTTACACCCTGATACCAAAAAGGAAGACGTACTAACGTTTGTTAAATCTCATTTTCCCGAAGCAAAATGCGAGGAACTGGAAGCTAAACACAAAGGCGAATATTCATCTTTCAAGCTGTCTGTATATGCTGACAATTTCGGAAAAGCCCTGGATCCCAACATCTGGCCTGTAGGAGCATGTGTTCGCAAGTTTTTTCATTTTAAAAAAATTAACGAGTAAAGCGGTAGTTAGTGATAGCTATTTTTCAATTTTCCATTTAAATGTACAATCGATTAGGAACAAAGTTGATGAAGTAGAGGTAGTTTTACATAACATTGAAGAATCTTATGATGTTTTATGTTTTACAGAACATTGGTTAACAAACTATGAGTTGGATTTATTAAAATTGGGTAGTTTTAAGATAGCCTCTGCCTATACCAGGAAAGATAATGGTTATGGCGGTGTTGTGATACTAGTAAACGATAAAATTAAATACCAAGTTATTGATGTTTCAAAGTTTTGTAATGTAATTGACATTGAGCTTGCAGCCATTAAAGTTAATAAACCCAAACTAATCATAATAACTGTATACAGAGCACCAAAAGGCAATCTGGAAGTTTTATACTCTAATTTGACTAATTTATTTAATTTTATCAATATAATCGATTCAGATGTTATTATTAATGGAGACTTTAACATACATTTTGACCGCAAAACCAAACAGACTCTAGAGTTCCTTAACTTTTTAAAATCTTATAATTTGAGACCTCTAATCTTTGAGAACACGCGAGCAAATTCGTGTATTGATAATATACTTACAAATATCGCACATGATTGTAGGCACCAGGTCATGGAGACTCATTTATCTGACCATCGTGCTGCTACTGTAGAAATTCTATATAATCGTCATAAGTCAAAAGACTGCTCGAAAGTTGTATCATATCAACCTTTTACGGAAGTAGGATTCTTTAATTTTTTTAATATTATTAGTGATTGCAATTTTGATTTTATCAATGATGCTGGACTTGATACAAATACCAAATTTAACTTATTCACCAAATTAATTTCTGATAAAGTAAACATGGCCTTTCCTATAAAAGTAAAAAGAATAAAAAATGTTAAAAAGGATGATATTTACTGGTATGATGAGAAATTACATAAAATGAAACAAAATGTAGACCTGCTACACGAATTACACAATCAAAATCCTAATGACCCAACTTTTGTGACCTATTTTCAAAAATATAGAGAATTGTTTAGAACCGAAGTTAAGAAAAGAAAAAAAACCTTTAATGACAACCTAATTAAAAATTCTACTAATGTAGCAAAGGACAGCTGGAAATTAATCAATAGCAAACGATTGGCTAGTAGCAATAATTATTCAGAAAAACTGACTGCGGAGGACTTCTCTACATTTTTTGGTGATATCCCACATAATTTGGAGAATAATTTAAAATTATCAAATACGGATCCAATTCAGCTAATGCACAAAAATTTGACTCCGGTGAACTCTGTTTTCAATTTCAGAGAGATAACATTTAATGAAGTAAGAGATACAATTGATTCCATCAAAAAAAAGAAAAGTAAGGACTACTACAACATAAGTATCACCATTGTTAGGAATATTAAGAATCTCATTCTAGTTCCACTCACAAGATTGATCAATCGGTGTATTAATGAAAATCTTTTCCCATCCTGTCTCAAGGTGACCAAAGTAATCCCTATCCACAAAAAGGGCAACGTAGATGATGTTGATAAATATAGACCAATCTCTATAACGCCTATTTTTGGGAAAATTTTAGAAAAGATTATGCTTAAACAACTTGAGGAATACGTTACTAAACAAAACATATTGAACCAACGCCAATTTGGTTTCCAACATGGCAAAAGTACAACCATGGCTATTAATAGGCTTGTTGATGAGGTCATTACCTGTTTCGAAACAAAACAATTCTTAGGATGCACATTTTGTGATCTATCAAAAGCTTTCGATAGTATTAATCACAACATTCTAATAAACAAGCTTGAGTTGTACGGATTGTCAAATGGAGCCTTACAGCTTATTTTTAGTTTTCTCCACAATCGCCAGCAGGTTGTTCTGTTTAATAATGTATACTCCGAAATGACAATAGTTAACATAGGAGTGCCACAAGGCTCGATTTTAGGTCCGTTGCTCTTTTTGTTATACATTAACGACTTGGCTAAACATCTAGACAATAAAATCATACTTTTTGCGGATGACACTACTTGCTATAGTGTGGATTCAGACATCCCGTCTCTCTTGGACAGGATGGAACAAGATATTAATGCTGCTAGTGAATGGTTTACTTCAAACAGATTAACGCTTAATGTACTGAAAACTCAAAAAATGGTGTTTTCCCTTCGTTACATTTCTGAGATTGACAATCCGAGGTGTGTCAAATTTCTTGGTGTGACACTGGACCCGAAATTATGCTGGGATAATCACGTCATTGATATCTGTAAAAAATTGTCCAAATCAACTTTTCTTATTAGGAATTTGCAATATGAGGTTAGTGAGCAGATCCTTATGATGATATACTACTCTTTATTTCAAAGTATTTTTAGCTATGCCATTATAACCTGGGGCCACAGCAGTCATTTAAAAACCGTTTTTAAATTGCAGCGCCGAGTAGTTCGAATTATTGGAGGTCTATCTTACAGAGCTTGTGTTAAAAATTATTTTAAAGAAAAAAGTATTCTCACCGTGCCCTGTCTTTATATTTTATATGCTTTATTATATGTGAAGTCTAATCTCACCACTTATAATAATCTCACAAATATGTCATTAATCACGAGATCTACCCATAGCATTTACACCGAATTCTATCGTGTAGGTAGAAGTAGAAATGCCATCAATTATTATGGGCCCAAATTATTCAATAAATTACCGAAACGTATTGCTAACTTACCTTTTTCGCAATTTAGCCGTACTATAAGAAATTTTTTATTAAAAAACGCATTTTACTCTCTCGATGAATTTTTAAATTGTAGCGATGTCCTGTGTAGTTTTTACCATTCGATTTGAATTATCTTGTAAATTGTATAATTTTAAACTCTTTATATTGTAATTTCATCTGACTTGACTTATGTACCCTAACGGTCATTAATAAATACTTACTTACTTACTTACTTACTTACTTACTTACTTACTTACTATTTTTCATTTTCCCGATGTGTTAATTTTCATTTTCTCGACTTTATATCACATTTTTTTCGCTTTTTCATTTCCTTTATCCTTTATTTTTCAATATTTCTTTGGATTAAAATTTTTTTTATTTCATTTTTCAAATTTCTTTGATTTTGCAATTTCTTCAACTGTCAATATTTTGATTTTACAATATTTTGTTTTTTCAATATTCCAATTTTTCAAT